AAGAAAGTTTAATATCAAAATCTGAACATACTGAAACTGCAATTTTCAATGATTTTTTTATTATAAATGACTTGTTTTTCCTTTTGTGTTGATGATGTTTGTGTTAAACCATTAGTTGGTATGAGTAGAAAGGTTTATTAAAGGCAGAATTGTTCATCTAGTTTTTCAGGTTAAAAAATTGTTGCACGTATACATATAGTTTTAAAAGTGAGAATATTATATATTTGCATGTACAAGGAAGGATCTGTGTATAGATTGTGAACCTGTGACCAAATTCAGATAATTATACTGGTATTTAATATTATACAGATAAACCACTTTATTTTTCACCAACAGTAAAGGGGTTAAAATAATCAACATTTGGAATCTTGCAATAAACTAAATGCTGCAGACAGTATGGTAAGGAGTTGGAAATTTACAGCCGAAGTACAGCATCCAAAATGTTGTAAGGAATTCTGGAGCTAATATTCCACTGTTACACCCAACATTTTCAACTTTGACCTATCGGTATCAGTCCAGACAGAACTACTAATACATGATTAAAGTGTGAAGTGATAAAAAGTGATAGTGGAACTATGGTTCCGGAGAACTTGACGTAAATACGTCTATACGGAAAGGAAGTTTATATATTGGCTTTATTCTAAATATTTCCTTTATACATGCTTTTTCAATTGAGTAAAGTTTGATTAAGACTTTGCTTATGTAACTTGAATTGGTTACGCTTAAGATGGGTCTGTGGTAGCTGAATGTAATGTAAAGTAATGTAATGTAAGGTAAAGTAATGAAATGTTTTATAGGTAACAAAAATGCCGAGTAAACAGATGACGTTTTCTAGGTACCAATAATTTCGAGTAAACAGATGACGTTTCCTAGGTAACAACAATGCCGAGTAAACACGACGTTTCCTAGGTAACCAGGTTACACTTTTTCGTTCCACTTTTTTGTTCCCCCTTTTTGCCGAATGACCCTTCCTTATAGACGTATTTATGTCAAAAGTCTATACGGTCTGTCTCATGGTTGGTGCATGTTATGTGTGTTCAGGGACTGCTCCTGAATGAGTATGGTTGTCGAGAACTGTGCTCCACAGAGTTAGCTGCAAACCCATATCCTGTAACTGCAGTGGATCTGACACGAGGCATTCATGCGGCAGCAGTAAAACAAACTCCGCTCCACCATCGTAGATGGCAGGTGCCTCAGAGGGAATACCATCAGTTTCATGATGAAGGGCAGGTTCAAGAACCAGGGCCAGAACATTCGCTGCACGAGTAAGTGACTTTCTCATCATCTACATGAGCATTAAATTGGTGTCTGAAGTTTTCTGAGATAATTCACAGCCTCCATCATCCAGGGTTGATGTGATGACTGATGTGATTATGTTATCATCACTGTTTCTTGTAAGCTGCACACCGCTCACCATTCTCCACACACGTGACAATTCCCATCATCTTTTCTCAGTGCCCAGTCTTTTGCAAATGGTCTTTGCATTGTCAGTGGCTCAGTAGCTGAATTTTACTTTTATTGTGTGCTGTTGTGGTATATGGACTCATACACATTGTGCTGTATATTATTCTTTATAGGCATTATCACTTAAAACCCTCTTATTATGTCAAAAAGAAAAAAAAGGAAATGATATTTCAGTCTTGTTTGACGTTTGAAAAATAATAGTTTTTCAAGATTGTTGAAATACAAGTCAAGTATCTCTCCATGAATCAATGAAATCAACGTACATTTTGTAAAGTAGTTTCTGCCAGAAGCCAGGACGTGACTTGTATTCAGCCTTATCAATTAATGCGCTGTATTTCAGTAGAGAGATACAGAGGGAGTGGAGGCTCCATATGTTTTTATTTTTAGGTTGAAATCCTACTTTGTAGTTATCCTGATTTACAGTTACATATGTTTTTTTATTCTTCCAGAAGTGTGTTCCATCCTGTGAAAGAGGGGGCACATCTTGTGTGTGGTTTTCTGGAGGACATGAGGCATCTCCCATCAAGTCTCTGGTCGACATACATACAGCTGTTCAAGCAAAAACTAAATTCCTTAGCCTTTAGTCTTCTTAATCTTGTTTGTTGGATGAGGTAATAGTATTTTTTTTACAGGAGTTTATTCCGAATTTGCAACCGTTTCACATATTTGTTCATTAAGATTTATTGTTATTGGTAACATGGTCTTTAGTAGTTTTAATGGTGATGGCTTTGAATTATAAGTACCTAGTGTTCAAAAGAGACAGACACTAACTGTTTGCAGTACTGTGGTCTAGGCCAGTGGTATTCAACCTGGGGTACGCGAAGACATCTTAGGGGGTACGTGAAATTTAAAAAAATATATATTATTTTATGATAAACACTGAATAATCAGTAATGTAATTTATTTAATTTATTTTAGATGTAGATTATATACGGTGTATAACTTGAATTATACACCAACAGCTTTGGGGGTACAAAGTTGAGGAGAAATTATATCGGGGGGTACGCAAACAAAAAAAGGTTGAATACCACTGGTCTAGGCAACACCACCACTGACCCATGTCATTGTCCATCATTTCAATAATTTGTGCTGTTTTCTGAGAAAGTTTCCGCACCCTTGGAATAGCTGTTAAAACTTGTTCGATAGTGGACACTGTTTCTAAAGTGAAACTTTTCATTTCTTGTCAGATGAGAATTTTAAGTCATATTTTTGTAAGAAAGAATTTGCCCCATCTCTCATTACAGGACTTTTATTGCTGTTCCCAGGGTTGTATATCCTTCTGTTTAGTTGGTTTGCATGCTTATTACTTCAGCTTTCTTTACACAGAATTATAAAAGAGAAGTTTGTAACACACACAGGTATTTTAAAATGTGGTGTTGTTGATTATGCTTGCAGAAATGACTGTGCAAAACGTCAACACCGCAGATACCTAGCACAGGTCCTGGATCTGGAGGAACCTGACCTCCTCATCGTACTGGCTGTTGCAGAAAAACTGCAGCCTGGTGTGTATGCCTACGTCATGAGTGAGAGTTCGGTTGTTAGGTGAATTTTTTAGACTGTGAGCATTGACGGACATAGTTCAGCAGTTTAACCTCTAGTATCAGGACTCACAGTTCTCTTATTTTGGCACTACACAATCTCAGGAGGAGGAAGCTGTTCAGAATTTTAAAATGTAACATTCACAAAAGATGTTTTAGGTATGTCATTGGATCGAGAAACTTTTGGCTGTTCCGTCACTTTTTTTGTTCATATTCCACATGTCAGTTGTGGTTCTGTATAATTTTTGGGTTTATAACTTTACCATGCTCAGTAAATAATTCATTACTTACTGGAGGATTACATATATTTGTCACTGTTTGTGTCTCTCCAGACCATCGCCTCATCTTGTCGTCAGCCTAGTTTTGTCATTTGTTCAATGATAGCTGATCCTGTTGCTTAACCTATAACCTTTCTGTTAGGACTTGCAATATTGAATTTTCTCTTTTGTCAAGTAAGTTAGATGAGCAAAAATGTTGTCAATATGCAGCTTATGTAGCCCATGATCTTTCATCTTTCTTGTTGTGTTTTTTACATTAGCATGTGTTGTTGCTATATTTGCAGTTACACATGTCATATTCTTCATAAACAGATTTTAAGTTTTGTGTATAGCCAGAAACGTTACGTAATTTGTACATTTTTCTTGCAAGACGTCTGTTTTTCTTAGTGATGTATTGCATTCTAAAAGTAGTTTATCTTTTTCCACAGCCATATGTTCAGAAGGGCATAATATTTTAGATAGGCAAGTAAAAAATATGTAGATTATATAATGTATAATAGTTTGGATCATTTTTGTTAACGGAATTGTCGTTCTTGAAAAGTGTAGACATGGGAAGATGTGAAGAAATCTGTTGCTTCGAACCATATTGCCATAGAAATGCGTAACAAACTGGAGCTAAAAATGTAATAAATGCACTTTATTCTCTGCTTTGGAAGCTATTAAGGTATTTAAATAAGACTCTTGGCTCTCACACCTGGTGTTTAAAAAGCCATACATTAAAGGTTAATATTAATTTAATTACATACAGTGTGTTCAACTTAAATTGCAACCCTAATTACAACAATATTTGTGAGCTTTGTTGACCTGAGTACAAGGAAACAGAGAGTTGTTTCTTAGTTTTTAGTTGTCAAGAACGTAGCAGAACAGCTTTACAGCAGATGTTCCTTGTCAGGATATGCATTCTTAAGTGCTTCACAAACAACAGCAAACAATTTCAGTTCAAAGTAATATTTGAGAGCAGACACACATTTTGCTTGTGAATTCACCATGTTTGAACCTGCACAGCATTTGTAAGACTGGCATGAGCAGTGGCCTAGCAATTAGGTTGACCTTGACTCGAATGTTACAAGGAACTTGGGAGAGAGTGTCACATTTCATTTTTGTGCCATAGCACACGACTGTTGTTGGGTTGCATATTAAATTGTACACTCTGTACAGTATTATAAATGACAAAGACATGCTCGAGTTACACTTGTAAGCAGTTGACACATATTAGGGTATTTGTAGATATTTATAGAGGGTGTATGATTTATGTTTTATTTTAAAAGATTTGTTTTTAGGTGCATAGCACTGTACAGTAAAATCTTAGTATAATAAACACCAGTATAATGAGCCAATAAGGGATAATTTACGTAACCACGTAAATGATTGATAGTGCCCGAATTTATAACCTGTGTTGGGCAAGGCCGTGGTCTAGGCAACACGGAGTTTTCCTCCGGGGGCTTCCCCGGTTTCTCCATGGCATCCCAACAATTACTCCATTCACACACAGAAGAAGGCAATGGCAAACCACTTCTGGATCAGGTCCCAGTCCGAGAAAAGGATGAAAGGATCCTGTTCATATGGACCTGTCGTCAGACAGAACACTAATAATAATAATAATAAGTAGGATGACCAATTGTTTTATGCTTGTGAATATCACTTTAGACAGGCCATGTGGTACTTGTTTGACAAAAATTCAGTGAGAGGAATAAATCTTAAATTCAGTTCTTTATTGTTAGTCTACTGCATCAACAGCTAGAAAGCCAATTAAATTATTAATATTGTTATTGCATTCTTATTAGAAATATAATTTGTCAGTTTAAAAAAAGTTTATTGTACTATTATACTCAGATTTTACTGTGTTTAGTAATTTTATGCACATCTGAACATGTTTGGTTTCATGTTGTTTCAGATTTTATAAATGTATTTTTTGTGTGTGTGACTGGTTCTCTGGGTTGTGATGCAGTATAGTTTTGTGGGATGTTACCGGTGCTTCAGAGGAAGATATTGCCTACAAACTACATGGTATCAGAACTCAGAAGACCATTATCAACATGTTCACCACCATCAGAACTGTAAATTTCAGTTTTTATTTTGTATAAATTAATGCAGCTGTTATGTAGGTTATGTTGCAAGATCCCGCACAAATTCTTAAATGTTTCTAAATAGGCCATAACTGATTTCTCATCAGTCTAAATAATCAATTTAGTGTAATCATTCTAATATCCATCATATATCTATTAGCATTACAGAAATAGAATATGATGCAAATCTGATGCAGGTAGCCTCTTCGAATGTCATTGCTGATTTTATTTTATGCGTGAGAATATCCACACTTGTCTGTGTAGTATGAAAAAATGTATGAGTTAATTTTCTGGCTTGCTCTGAGAAAAGGAGCCCAATGGTACTTATAAATGTAAAATAAAATATTAAGAATTTTAACATATTATATAATTCTCTGGTGATGTGTTCACAATATATTGCACCTAGTATGACCACAGTATTTGTATCAGCTGTTCTGCCACAGTGAAGGCTGGATGTGGCATTAAAGTGTGGTTAGGTTTGCAGTATGCTTTGTACCCAAGTCTCCTTTCTGGTTTTCCCTTCCCTAAATTATTAGCAAATGCCTACATTTTGTTACTTTCATGCTCATGGTGGGTTGGGTATTCCTGGGGATGCTTCTCCGTTGTGTTATGATGTTGAGTAATTAACCACCGAAAGTTGTCAAGTGGTCAGCACTTTTGCTTTGAATTCAGAATGTCCCAGGTTAAAATCTCAACCAGAATACTGGCTTTACTGACAGGATTTATGTGGCTTTCCTCGGTCTGTCCAGGCAGATGCTAGGACAGCACTTAAAATTAGGGCATGACTGCTTCCTTCCACATCCTTTCCAATTCATTGTACACTAATCATCCTCTGTGGAGTTTGATCACAAGAGGAATGTAAACTCTCTCTCTTTTTTCCAGAATGAGACAACAGTATGTGCTTAATGTGGTAATTGAAACACTCCCATTTAAAGCTTATGTAGTTTAACATTTTAATTGTTTCCATGGGGTAAGGTCTTTCTTGAGAAGCTGATAGTCGCACAGTCAAGAAATACCCGCATTTTATGGAATCCAAAGTTTAATTTATGGTGTTCACAAGAACATACCCTGAGTCAGAAACTTGATACTGGTGGTTTCACTAAAATTTGTCAGTGCATTCAAATTTTGGTCAAATTTGCACAATGATTGTGAGCACTTTATATGAAGACCTTCATGTGTATCTGTACTCCCAAGAGACTGTTTAGGGAATTCTCCAGCCATTCACAAAGGTTAGATATAGCAGATGTGCCAGAATTGTTATGCAATGTGAGCATTTTCTATCTTCTTCATTGTGTTATTATTCACAAGCCATTGTTATTCCTGTATTAATATTTTGCAGTTCTTTTTAAAATGCAGTAAGTATGGCAAAAGGCAAAATCTTGGGAGAGAAAAATTTGTTTACACAAGTTTTCTTATATCACTTCACATGTTTGTGGTATTATGTAACTCATTGTTTGAGTATAAATTCAGTAGAGAACTTTTAAACCTTGTAATATATCCCAGTTGTCAAAAATCTGACTGTGGTGGCAAAGAGCCAGTATTGTAACTTTCTTAGGTCGTTTATCATTATAGTACACCCCATTTCTGTTTTGTCTGTCCTCTTTACATACGAGACAGGTTTTTACAATTGTGGGCTGAGGAAAATCTTTGTGATATAGTCCAGCTGAGTATATCTCAAATACTTGTGAAGAGGGATGCATAAACATTCTTTTGGATTCATTGTATAGGTAGACTTTCTTTCGTTGATAAACATTACTGCAGCATTAATTAATTGAAATTGTCGTCTTGGACAGTACAGCCAAATTTTTCACCCCATTTGGCCAATGGTTAGTATTATCTGTGAGGTTTTAAAAAGTGCTGCTAGCTTCAGTTGGTTTAAGTGTATCCGCCTTGTTCTGCGTGCATGTGTATACGCGAGCGCAGATACATTTAATATACCCAGTGTGTTCTAACAAAAAGCGATTATTTTCTGAAATAACGTTAACTAACTAATTTTTGTAAAGCAAATGTGTTGCGTTTTTGAGGTGAGAACTGCGTTTTTCAAAGACCGAAGCAGGGTTTCAATCTGTGCTGGTAACCTTACGAAAACCCTGGCTGCGTTAGCTATGTTTATGTGAAAAATAAAACACTAATAATTTAATAATACTAACTAATAATTGAATTCAAAATTTTTGCCGCCGATAGTAATTTTATTAATAATAATTTCGAATTGTTCAAGTGCATAGGTCTTCAATTGATAAGGGAGGTGAACACTGCTTGCGACGTCATGTTCTAAACTTGTTGCCAAGTGATACTGGGGTAGAGGCTTTGATTGTAGATTGAAGCATATAGGAGTAAGCAGGGAGTTAGTGTCAAAAGTTATGTGTGTAATACGTTGGGAAAGAACGTTACTGAAACCCCTTCGGTTGTAGGATTCAGCCTAGGAACTGTTTAATTTCAGTTTTCGGAAAATGACTGAAACTGTTTTTAAAGGTATGATTTTATTACAGCCATGTAAGCTACAACCAGTAGGTTAGTTTGGGGCGACATTCCAGTGTTTGAGACATTTTAGGTCTGTAAATTTGGTGTGTAATAATAACAGCACAACAATTTTTCAATGTATAGGTTTTTGTAGGACCATAAAAATCTTCCCTTCTTAGCGTACATATGTTTGATAACAGTGCTTATGATTAACAAAAGTTTTTTTGTTCAGCTTATGAGTAAAAATTAGTTAGTACAACATTTTAGGAGCACTAGATTAAAAATTAGCTGTTTTTAAGAAAGATACATAAACTAGACAGTGAGTATTGTATTATATTAGACAATGAAGGCATACCATATTTTAAACATTAATCTCAGTTTAAGATTTGGCTGCAGAAATAAAGCTAATAATTGCTTTTTGGAAGGATAATATTATCCAAACCTGTGGGTTTAAACAATGAAACTGTAGTAGTATTTGAAGCAGATGATTAGTAGAATGCCGAAAGTGTTTCTTGCTTCAAATCTAATACCAAAATATAACCAATCCATAAATGTGACATAACCCTACTTGAATGTGGTTAATGTGTACACGAATAAACATTATTCCTACCAGCCTTTCAAACATGTTGGTGCACGATACTGCTTATGGAGTTCTCTTTTATTGTGTTAGTGTCATATTACTTGGGTTATGCATTAGTGTGGTGAATGCCTAGTGTATATTCCTTACCTCAGATATTCCAGACATGTTAGACTAATATTTTAAATACTGCTGTGTAGTAGTGTAACATACTCAAGCTTCTATGTAACACAGAACTGTGTAGACTAGTAGGCCATTTTATCATGCCAACATTGTCATTATCTCTGTGCACTTATTTTCAAAAGTACTTAATTTTAAACATTATACCCATTCAAGAAACACAACTTTATAACTCAGTGATCATTTGTAAGGTTTTTTTAATTGAGAGCTTCATTTATAGTCAGTAATCGTAATATAATTATTTTAACCTACACAAACCCATTGAATTAGGGTCCTTTGACTGTAATTAGCCAAAATACTAACAAATCCAGCTTATTCTGTGTAACAGGTTACTGAATTATAGATAAATTCAAAATATAGAATGTCTTGTGTTACTCATCAACCAAACTGTTTTCGTTTTATAATAAATTGCAGTATATGATTTGCAGTGTGTGTAATGAACCACTTTATATTATCAATATGTAGTGAAGTTATATTAAGTTTTTTTTACCCATAAGGTTTTCCAAATAAAATTGCATGTGTAACTTCTTCTCCCATATGCTACAGCTATTGGCCATCTTATGGTTCTTAATTTCTTGTTGTTACTTTGTTGTTAATGTTAGTTACATATTTCAGCCTAAATTGAAGGTTAACTATATGCATATTTAGGAGTGTGAGACAATATTACAAAATGTGAAAAACATTTTGCCATCATCTTGAAAGAAGTTTTAGAATTAGAATTTATTTACATTCCATATTAATTTCATTTGACATTAGCCAAGGATGTAGAACATGTCATAACATAAATACAATACTTGTTTCTAATTCATATATAAATTACCCAGTTGTGACAGTGACTTACAGTCAATTACATTATTACCACAAAAATAGTTACACAAGAAAGCTTACCTGCTGTTGCATACATGTGTTTATTATAACTGAGAACTTTTAGTTAAGGTAAATTCTTGTATGGAGGAAGTAAGTTGTCTATATTCATTGTGGATTGTAATTTCTCTGCATGCATTGACCATATTGAATAAAATATATTCCACTGGATTATGTCCTTATAAGTAATCTTTGTTATGATCAGCTACAAAAAACAGTAATACATAGTTAATTTTGTCATTGTTATTTTCTTGATTTTCTTCCTAAGATGTTTCTATGTTGTGTGGGCCATCTATTCTTACATGCAATATTAATATAATGGCTGTAATACATTTTGATAATAATTAATGCTGTTGGTCATTATAAATTTTATACATTTATGTTTGTTGTAATTGTATTTTTCAGCGCCAAAAGCAAAAAGATCTCCAAGTGCAGATGATGATGATGAGGTAAGTTTTCTGTTTATATTGAAACAAATAAAAATTTTGTTGTAATTTTTTAACTGGATGATTGTAAGAGGTTTAAACACCAAGTTTGTAAAATACATATCATAATGTATTTTTATATACATGTTATTTATGCTGTAGGAATTTATATGAAAATAGGCCATGACAGTTTAACAGAACTGTATTGTTTTCTTCAGTCCCTTTTATTTCCTGTTTGTGAATAATAGCAATTTTTGCATAAATGGAATTGCATCTTATACTTAATACTATGGATTGGAAAATAGCATTTGCTGTGTGAAAAGAATTCTTCAAAATTTTTCACACCTTCACTGAATGACACAAAATGGTGGTCATTTTAATTGGGGTAGATACAACTTTTGGTCAGTGAACATAGCACTTTCACAGGGTTGTTATATATTAGGAGCAGTGCAGAAATTTTTTAGTTAAAACTTGTGTATCATATTCCTTAGGCCAATGAGCTGCAGGAAAATTCAGGAATTTTTGTAGTGTAGCTGAACTTTTTTTTTATTCAGTCTGAACATGAAGTCTGTGTCTGATGTTAAGAAGACATAAAATCTCTGATCAATTTTATGTTAGGTAAAAATTAAGTATGCTATTTATTGAAGGTTCTATGTTGATATGGACATTGTCCATCAGACCTATAAACACGTGGCAGCAACAGTGACTTCTGAGTGCATAGTTCCTTTGCCGTTACCATTGTCTTGTCATTGAGAAGTGAAAGAAATGTATTCAGAACAATACATTTATGTAGACATGTTATGAGGAGTATGTTGTTAGAATGGTGGATATTTATTTCTTATTTTAGATGTCGTCAACAGCATCAAAACGTCCACGCACTGCAGAAGACTTCTACCTTTTCTGTAAATTTATTTTGGAATATGAAAATTATGAGCAAGAGGTATGTATGTAATTGCAATTTTTTTTTTTGTATTAATATGTAACACGTTATATTACTACATTGATTTTCATCAAGAATTGCTTATTTTATTTGCTTATTACCTTTCTTTATCGCATTGTTATAGCGAGTAATGTACTTGATAAAGTTGTAAGGTGTTCAGTTTTTGAATATATGATGGTTTCGTGTTGATTTTTGACGTAAATACGTCTATAAGGAAGGGTCATTCGGCAAAAAAGTGGAACGAAAAAGTGTATCAATGGTTACTTAGGGAATGTCGTCTGTTTATCAACAAATAGACAAGAATGGTTACGTAGGAAATGTCATCTGTTTATCAACAAATAAACAACAGTGGTTACCTAGGAAATGTCATCTGTTTACTCTGCATTGTTGTTACCTATAAAACATTACTTTACATTACATTTCATTACATTACTTTACATTACATTCAGCTACCACAGACCCATCTTAAGCGTAACTAATTCAAGTTAAATAAGCAAAGTCTTAATCAAACTTATCTCAATTGTAAAGCATGTATGAAGGAAATATTTAGAATAAAGCCAATATATAAACTTCTTTTCCGTATAGACGTATTTACGTCAAATTCTCCGGAACCGTGGTTCCACTGACAACTTTTTTGTTTTGAAACATAATTATTGTACTAATGTTTTTACAGTATAAAAATATGACCTTTATCACTGTTGTGTTCCCATAAGGTGAAGACTGTTGAATTTATTATTGTCCATGTGTTAAGTTTTGGTACTGCTAAAAGCTTGTCGTTATTTTGAGCTGGTGTTACAGTAACACCTTGATCGGGACATGGTATCAGTAATGTTGATAGTCTGAGTATTGCAAATATCAATGCATGATAATTGATTAGTATTTGTCAGCATGTCTCTTCAGGGTACTTTTATGTGGAGTTCTTATTTGAAAAGCTATATTCATGCAGTAAATTTTCAGGAAATAAAAATATTTTTAATCCTGTACCAAAATACCCTATGCTGTTTGTGATCATTGAAAATTTTTAGGTGTTTCTCATGCTCTGGCATGAGTAGAGAACATGTTAAGGACTTATCTACATATTTCTTTTTTCTATGGGGTACGTAGCCCACATGACCAAGGGTCATTGTGCAGAAATGTGTACAGGTACTCATTTTGGAGAACATTGTTGCACAACAGTGGGAACCAGGGCCATTGTTGTGTAAGAATTGGAGCTGAGGTAATTTTTAAACATATTTTGTAACAAGGACCATATATCACATTAGTGCAACAGTGACCTATATTATGCGGCATGAAGAACACCTTTGGAATATGAGTGTACTCCGGAGATATTTTTCCAATCTTGTTAACATTAATGTTAATGTGAAGTTTCCATTAACCAGTACCAATGTTGCAGGAATTATGTGACAAAGCGGGCAGTCCTCTGAGCAGCAGAAGTAGTGTTGAAGACAGTATCAAGTCAGAGTCACCTTCTAATAGTGCCAATGAGGACAGGAAAGGTTTGGAAACAGGTGTGTTTACTTTACTCATACGTCTCACAATAAGAAACAAAAACGGCTTTGTGCTTCGTTATCAGGAATCCATGATTGCATTTTAATGATTGGTTGTTCTTTGGAACCCGGTGACATCGCTGTATGTCGTGTCCATGCTCATGCTATAAATATTTGTACGGTTGATTCGAGAATTTAGGTTATCATATCATATTAAAGCTTCCATGTGTGTTGGGGAAAATTGATTGAGCAAAAGTATGCAAGAATTACCTGGTATTGTCATAACTTTCTTAACGTAATAAAGCATACCTCACAGTATTTATTGCTAGTGTTTGATCTTTGAAAGCGTAGGAATGTATCTTGAATCATGTCCATTTTTTTCTTTATGTTATGTATCGTGTTGTTAACCTTTATAAGCCAAAAGGGACGTGTGTCTTATGAAATGTGTTTGTGCTTGGCCAACTGTGATAAATATTCTGTCCTGCTACATCACAATATTAAACATTTTATATATTTACAAGAACAGCATCTTGTGTGTCAAAAATGCTTCTATACACTTCTTAGATTTTAAGAAATTTATTTGTAATTAATTTATCTACTTTAAGGGGTAGGTTTTCTTATTAATGTCTGCCTGAAATTGGCATAAATTTTTTAATATTTAAAACAGTTATCTCCAAGATACTGTTCTTTTTTGGTGTCCCACAAGATGTCAAAGTCAGATATCTAAAGATGCTCTAAGATCACTCCTTATATCGCCACCCCTTTTGTGAAATCCATGTCTTTTTCCTCATTACTTCATCGATGTGTTAATGTCCTCGTAGGGTACTGTTTGTTTGCTCTATGTATATACTCAGAGGAATGAAGGTTAATTTACTGCCGCACTTAAAATACCCATGAGCTTAAAATTTTATATTTTTTATTGGGAAACAATCCACCCCCTGCGAGGAGCTGCATATGTTGTAACAAAAAGCTGTGTTATAGAACACAAAATAGTTTGCTCTTTTCAGACAGGTGAATAAAACACCTTGTTCCACTATTCTTGTTCATACATTTTGAATGTGTCGCCCCTCGCCTGTCTAAATGGCATTAAATTTTGCTCTTAGTTTCTTTCTATGAAGATCTTGCAGCGTTCCTGCTCAGTTATATTTCTCACAGGACGAAAGTCCATTTTTCTAGTGTATAAATTGTCTCATAAAGATTATCCATGTCAACTCACAGAATTTGTTGGTTGGTTTTCTGTTTGTTTCGTTTATTTGTTTATTTATTTGTGCTTTGTGGGTTGCTTTAGTCGCATAACATTGAGGAATTACATGATTGTTTTGAATGGTGGCTTTGGAAGGGTATTCACAGAACTGGTAATGCATAATATATTTTGATGTACTATCCCAGCAATTTGTCTAGAAGACCTGAGGAAAAGTACAAAAAATCTTCATCTAACTGGTCTCCTAGCATGAAAATGTAACCTGCTTGGTGAGTAGAGATTGAATCATTGGAAAAGTATGTGATGAGAGTCTCCCCCTTCCCCCACTTTCCATGGAGGCTTTTAAGGTTAATTAGGAATCTTCCAACTGTATGTGATGAGAGTCTCCCCCTGCCCCCACTTCCCATGGAGGGTTTTAAGGTTAATTAGGAATCTTCCAACTTCTTCTCAAAGTGGCTAGAATATCAAAATATTTTATTAATTGGCTTTGGAGTTATAGATTGTATTTTATTTGTAATGGCAGTTCTTTGCCTACAGGCCACCATCTTTTCAGAATAGTGTTCCATATAATTGAGTAATCTTCATCTACTCTAGCAGTTAAATGGCAGATTTGTTTTAAAAAAGTAACATTTTTAAGTACTTGTGGGTTATCGGGACACATCGCTTTAAAAATAGGTTAGGTTAGGGTTGTTGTTATCTGTTAGTTCGTTCAGTTATTTATTGCTCTCCACACACATTAACCTAACCTAACCTATTTTTAAAGTGATGTGTCCCTATAACCCACAAGTACCCATTTTTATTAATCTTTGCTTTTGTTTGTTTCAATTGTCTGGCCTTGACAATCAGTACTTTATGAACAGGGATCATGCAGTATAGAACAACCATCAATTTTTCTTAATGTTACATTATCACAATCGTCTGTACGCATCGAGGTGGCTGTGGAAAATTGTTTCCTCGTTGAAACCCAAGCATTCATATGCCTGATAATTTTGAAATGTCTTCCATTACATTCCTCTGCCATTATGCAAGGTGCTGGCAGTACAAGAACGCCATATTCTAGACTAGGCGGCTTTGTAACACTGGCCCAACTAATTTTAGAAATGTAGAAAACCATCTCTTTAACCCACCCATCATTTGTATCATTTATCTCTGTGTGTTGTTTATATTGTGGTCATGGAAGTTATGTATTTTGGTTTCTGACTTTATTGCAATAATATTTTTTAACTAGGAACCTATATATATAAATTCAATATTAATATTTCTGTATTTTATTTCTTGGAACTATGACTGGAACAAATTACATAACGAGGAGCTTCGTAACTTCTTCATATGTCATTAGAGAATTGTAGTCAGAATACCTGAGTAAAGATGGGATGATTATATTAAAAATTAATCTTTTAAAAATTGGATATGAAGGAATGGACAAGATTTATCTCGCTTAGGATAATGACAATTGGTGGTTTCTTTGTGAATCTGGTAATGACTTTTGAGATCCATAAAAGAAGGCAGGGAGTTTCTTTTCTGGCTGTGAGGTTAAGAGCGACTCAGCTGTACAAAGTGAGTTAGTGGGTTTCAGGAACTGTGCTTCATTCCGTAGTAAAGACTAGCTTAAACAGGATGTGATGATTTGGAGATACTGCAGTACATATTATAGTTTTTAGCAGCATTGGAAATTTTATTCACTTGGTCTTCCTGTTGTATATTTACCTTGTTTGAAATCAGTAGTATCAATAGTGATTCCCATATTGAAGCAGAAGTGAAGTTATGAAATGTAATATCCATGTGTTTATTAATTAACCATAGTCACTAAAAGTTTAATAGATATGGGGTCGTAGAATATTTTTCAGTTGAATGCTGCCTTTGGCTTTCAGAGATTGAATTATTCACTAATTCGTGTCTCTTTTTCTTGTGCGTCTAGTTATTTACGTGTTTATTTCTGTATTTTTCTTTGTTTTTATAGTTTTTTGTTTGTGTATGTGTGTGTACTGTTTATCATCATCATCGTCATAACTAAATCTTGCTAAAGTGAAGTATTTTTTCTCCACATTTATCTGAAACTCGTTAACGTGTAAATCTAAAGTAATTTTGAGTGACATGTCATTTTTTAATGGGATGCTTAAAGCTCTTTATTATATTTACAGAATTTACATAAAAAGTTTGAATTTTAAATTCTGCTTATAATTAAATAGAATTTATTGCTTCACAGTGTTTAATATGCATATTCTGTACAGACAGAATAGCCATATTATTGCAATTATGAGTGTAATGTTACTTTGTTTATAATAGTAAAATATGGGGCCCAGTATAGTTCTCAATCAGCCGTTCACTGATATTGTTGAAAGATTTCTAGACATATGGGGTGGACAGTTAATTTCCATGCATTGTGGTATTTTGTACACCGATTCATACTTGTAACAACGTCATTTCTGTATATTTCTTTAAATGAACTTGAACTAACAATTTCATACAATATTTTACTTAATCTGCTCGTGGACTCAAATAAAGTGCAGTATGTATTCATGTACCTGTTTTCACTGTCCAACTTTCAGCAAAGGCTGCTTCTTCACAGGATTGGAACTGGAATGGCATACACTTTTCCGGTAAGAAGCAGTTCAGAGTTGGAGAGGAAAATGGCAGAGGGCATTAGATTAGCCGTAACATTATATGGTCAAAAGATTACACGGAGTTGATTCCATTTTCTTATTTTTGCAGTTTTCTCAACGTCTTGATAGTTCTGAAATTTACAGTTTTACTAAGAAGTAAGAATGCTGACATTGTTCAGGATATTTAAATTCATTATCATTACCGATAGTTCACTTGCTTTATTTGTATGTTGTAATCTTTTTGCCATACATAACCTCGCATGTCTAGTATATATTGCTGGTTACTTGTATATGATTATCTGATTTTAACACCATAATGTTCGTGTATTTTGTCTTCAGCATATTATATTAGAAGGATATTTTGTAATTGTTTATTAAATCACTGAAACTGTGAAATTTGGATTATAGGGCACTATTTCAAGTAACTAGGGTACTGAACAAGTAATCTGTGATTTTATTGTTTGTCAGACTTTAAAGAATCCTTAAAAACTCCAGTTCTTCAGTCTTCTGTAACTCTGTGTTAGTCCTTTTGTTTTTGGATTATAGAATGTGCAGTTTCTCAATATTCTTTGCATGGGTTTGAATATGTTCTGAATGGCCAAAATCTTTCATCTTTTTCTGTGGACTTGGAAATTCATGTAATATCTTACGGGAGCAGTCTAGCGAATGAAATTACTGTTGCAATGCGTCATACATATCAGAAGATGCTTGTTCCTGGTATTTTGTGCATGATTTTATTTTTATTTTGTAGTGAATTCTGAGATAGGAGATACTTTAATATATAGGGTTGTCAGTCAAGTGTTTTTTAGTATCTACATTTAATTGATGAGCTGATGAATCAAGAAAGGAACAAGTTAATGGAAACATTATTTGTCATAAAATGTGACAACCAATTTATTAGTAAATGCTTTTTTGAACTAGCCATATAAGTCTGAATCTTGGAAAGTTTAGTGAGGTTAGGTTTCCTCCAATTGGACTTCGAGAATTACCAGTGAGCATTATTTTTAGTACCGAGTTAAATCTGTCCAGGCTGAATGCTATAGAACTGACAACTGCATACAACAGTAATGTTACCGTTGCTTTAAGAGCTTCAGAATATTTTCTGTATGGCATTGGCTCTTGTTTAGATGGTTTATGAAGATGGAAATCTGATGAACCGACACCTACTGTAGGGATGTTGACATCTCCTCTTGACCACTCCAATTGGTGAGAAGTTGCTGATTTGTATTAGTTGTGGATAACACACTCTATGTTTATACGTGTTTATAGCAGTTGTGACACTGTGAAATAGCTTACCCTATAGAACATGTGCATTAAGTTCATTCATTGTGTAACTTGGAAAGTTGCCTTTGAAAGTTGTTAAATACTGGAATCTGTATTCTGGGAAGAAAGTCTCGACAATGTTTTGAAACATCTCAGGGATTTGTTCAATTTAACCTTTTGAAACCTGTTAGAAATTTTATGTACCACATGTTTTTACAATCTGTAGTTCTGAATTTGCTTACAGTGTATTTATGGGTTTCATATGATTCTAAACTGATTATTTCTGTAAACAGCATTGACTGTTTGCTCTTTGTATAGAGTAATGTTGTGTTTTCTTTGCGGTAGGAACTGAATCTTTAACTGTTATTTAGATGAGCAGAATTTTTATTTTAGATTTTCTGGACCCTTGTTATCCATTTTATCACATACTGAGGACAATTTTATAGTGGCAGTCGATGAGGCCATGGGCCATGATATATCAAGTAAGTTATTATCAGTAATAAAAAAAATTAAGTCTGAAATTGAGGTTAGTGCAATGATTAACAAAAGATACAGGAAAACTTTATCAATATCTGTATTGTGTAAGACTTGAGGTTCTCACAGCGGTGAGTATGAAGATATCCGTCTTCTGGGTTATTGCGCTGTGTAGTCTGGTCGATGTTAACCAACTGTATTGTTAACATTTCAAAATATGTAGCCACGTAGCACAGGTTAAACATGGTAATTATAAGTGTGGGTCTTCGTTCTGTCATCTTATTTTAGCTGTCTCATAAAAGTGTTGATGGATAAGAAGTGTATGAACAGGTTTTCTTGGTCTTCCGTTTTCTCGTCGTCCACAACAACATCCCCCCCCCCCCCCCCCCCCCCCACCACATCCTAACATAGACATCTTATCACTCTTAAAATGTTATGAACTTTTGAAACAAAGGTCCTTGGGTTTGGTTCTTTAGGCAACTGTTGTGAGATGACTGTTTTATCTTTTAGGATCTGCTTGTAAGTGAGGAAGTTTCTTTCACTTACTTCTAAGAACTTGTTACATTTTCTACTTAAGATTTATTCCACTTTGGTTCATCCTTTTTACGTGATATATCATTTTTATTTTAAATTATTTCAATTTATTTCAATGAAGAAATGTAACATGTTACTGGTACTAGAATATTTGTTTACAATTTTGGGTTTCTCTTGTCCCCCTTGCATGCTCATTGCCCTATTATTCTCCTCATACAGTTTTCTTCATATTTCCTGTTTCTTCTAGTCTTGTGTTCTCAAATACATTTGAGCTGTATTCTTCCCTAAAGATGAGACCAAATTTCTTACGGTGTTGAATTGTTTACGTCTGACTGAAATTGATGACGCTGAAATACGTGGAATAAAACGTGTAGAAAGTGGGTTTTATCTTGGCTTCCAGGAGTCCCGAGATGGTTGCTTTTATTAAGATAATTATATGTACTGTACTTTCCTTTGACATTAAAAAATTCAGTTTTGTTATGGTAATGGATTTGCATGTAATTGGAGACATGGAATGTTATTTCTGAGTCCTGTCACTTGGTGTTATGATGTAATATGTGTAAATATTATTCTTTGTTCTGATGCTTTTAATTCCAATGATAAATCCATGTATGCCAGTATGATTAAATTTTAGATTAAATAACTTACTTTCAGTCTACTTATTATCTTTGTAGGTGTTAAAGTGTGTATAGGTTTATGAGTACAGCGAAACTTCACCATAGATACTAAAGAAAGAACTGTATGTTAAATACATTTAAATTTTCTAACCAATTCTGTGAACTCTATAGATATCTTCAAAATTCTTTATGACGAGATATTGGATATGTTGTCAGTCCTCAATACTACTTTGCACAAAACCAGATTGGTAATATTAATATGAGGAACATAGTGCTTCTACCTTCACCGCTGAAGATGGAGGCTGCGTTCCTCCAAAACCGTTGCAGACGGCAAAAATTCTATATGGTGAAGCAACTTAGAAGACCACCGTCTTTATTCACATTGCTATGAAGCATCAGATCTGTTTTAGATTACTTTTGAGGTAGCCTGAATTTTCATTGCAAAGTTAACATAGTGGCGGAGTCCCTCTTTCTGCATGCCTAATTTCAGAATGAAACTACTTATAACATTCGGATAGCATTTGAGAATGTTCCTTACACTCTAGCTTAGATAACTTGATCTTAGAATTATTTAATGTCATGATTTTATATACTAACACTGTTCCAATTTGATTTCAGAAGAAGATTCATATGACTTGGTAACATGCTACTGTACCAAGCCATTTGCCGGAAGGCCCATGATCGAATGCAGCAAATGTCTCACGTGGATCCATCTCTCTTGTGCCAAAATAAAGAAAACAAACATCCCAGAAGTGTTCATTTGTGTCAAATGCAAAAACAGGAAATTCAACAGTGTCACATCAAGTTCGTCTGTTAGACACAAGAAAAGAGTGACTGTGTGATCAATTTCAGAAAATAGAAACATCAAGGATGATGCGTAAACTATTTGACCAGCAAATTAGGCATTTAGTGGAATGCTGTGAAATTTGCGCTCAGTTTATTTCAGGCGGGGCATGTGGGATTTGTCATGTTTTATTTCTGTGACATCCAGGTGTATATTTAGGAATGAAAAGTTCTTGCAAGTAAATACTTACGTGTTCCATTTCCTGTGTCTGAAAAGTCTTTGGAGTTGTTCAGAGTTGATTTTTGCGTTCAGGGGCAAGTGTAAAAATTTGTTATGCCTAACTCCTAGGACTTCTCCGGTGTCTTGGAAACGTAAATAAGAATGAAAGGTGACGAAAGACTCTCGGGCTACAAGCCGCGGCTGAAAGGTGAATAAACCGTATCTTCTGCCAATGTTTCAAGAACATCCTCTGTTCTCATCCTCAGGGTTGCTGGGTAACCAGATGACAACGGAGGTTTTTCTTGTAGCCCAAGAGCCTTTTAATCAACTTCAGTCACCGAGAAAGGTGTTGCTAGTTTCAAGCTTGAATTAGGAGGATGAATTTTGTTACAAAACAGAAGCAGTTTTTTTGCTGATATTGCCATATACAAGCATAATTTTTTATTTATGTTTTTTGAGATAGGTGTCAAGACTTAATTATTTGTGCTGCCTAATTGTTTGGAAGATCGTGTTTCTTGTTACCTTCCAGTAATTTGGTTCTAACCATTGTTGCTCTGTTTCATAAGATTTTACTTTGAGAAAATAAAATGTTAATTTTCTCAGTTTTTTTATGTTCTGTGATGTAATAGAGAGTCAGGTAGTACTTTACCGATGAGATCATTTTCTAAAACTTCTCGAATTTAACCAAATTGCCCGCAACTTGAAGATTATAATTTTTTTGTATTATTTTTAAATAGCTCCGTCAATACCATAATTCTACTGT